TCTCACTCATTCTGAACCTCTCCTCAGAGAAGCCTCTCTCCCTTCTTTGGCTACAAAGAGAGCATAATGTGAACGGTTCGTTAACCTTTCTGAATACCCTTGTTCCTCTACCTAGTAGATGACTAACACTATTTTTGCTTACAGAGCCGTGAGGTTTACCGGTTGTCTAGGGTGTGTGATCTTAGCCTTGGAATGCAGGGATAGATGTAGGGTTCAAGCCTCTGAACTCTAATCACACCAGGATTATCACGGCATATTGGGGATGTGTCTTTGAATCAAGACCTTCCACTAATGCCTAGAACTACATTCTGCAATGACACTGAAATCTTTCACATCTATACCATCATGTTTTATGGACAGTTTTATAGCTACTCACTGTCGTGTTTTATTGAAAACTGGTTATTTGGATTAGAAGTTCTACATAATTTATTAAAGACTACAAATTATTTGTTCAAGACACAGGTTGTAAATATGATCATAAATCATAATGTCGGTGGTCAATAAAAGCATTAAAAGCTCTACTGCAAGATCAAGAATTTTATCTGCAGGTACACAGGAGGACGTGTATTAAGTACTGCGAAAAGAAAGGTTGTAACTGAATTCAGCAAAAAGTGGTATGGATTTTTTTCAGACGGCAGCATAAATTTATGAAGTATATTTTCTCAGTGTTGACCTACTAGATAAAAGATGGAGTTAAATTCAGGTATTTGATGTTCAAGACCAAAAAGAGAGAAAGAATTAAATTCTAGACTACAAACTGGAAACATGTAAACTCCATTTATTCTTAAATAATCCGTTGCATTTCCTGATCTCTATTTTGTTTGAACTCTTAACACAGAAAACTTCAAATCCATACCACTTAACAGTGTTACATACGTTAACATAATACAATATTTTGGTAGCCTGTTCTTTCAAGACCTCTTTCTTCTGGCAGGCAATAGGTTTTTAAATCTTTTCTTTTGGCATGGGAAGAATTCAGGCACTGTCATCTGACTCACAAGTCAGATAAGATCTACGGAGTAAGATAAGAAACGTATATTGTTATTGTTACATACATTGCTATTGTTAAACAAAATATGTTTGAGGCAATAAAAAAACTACTAAATAGCACAACTTATAGCACATGAGTTGTGTTCCTGACTTTTTCATTTCCCAGACCATGTGAAGTCACTACTTGTGTATTATAAACATTTCTGCCCTGTAAGGGACTCTATGACACAGTAGGTAACATAAACCCAGGCCTATTGTAACATACTGCTCAAAGGTCAGAGAAAAACTTACATACAGAATAATACGTCAGCTTAGAGACAAATCCTAACACTCAGCACAGCTCGGCACAGGAAACTGAAGGCAAAGTATCCTTCTGGCCAGCTAAGCAAGGTGCTAGTAAGGGAGGCAGGCTTAGCTCTAAGTGTACAGATCTGTCCCTGTATGGCACAATCCATACAGCTACATAATACAGGTGGACGCAAACCAGTTTGATCATCCCTTGAGAACTTCCATGCTCTGAACAAAGCCAGGAGACCTATTTGAAATCAATATAGTCTATACTTAAATCTGTGAGGTGAGAACGAATATAATTATGCATCCAAAATGAGACAGCATCTCTTTAACAGACCATGTTTAACATATAAGGCAAACTAACCTCTCTCACAGATTAAAACCCTGAAAGTCTGATCAGCAGTGAGCCCGAACCAGAAAATATTGCAATGCAGTGTGATAGACAAATTGGTATTATTATATGTGGTCTCTTCAAAGAGAAGAATGACCATAGTGGGGACTCTGCCCTAGAAAATGAGCTCTTGTTCCTGCTGGCTGTTCTGTGCATGTTCCGCTGCCTCTCTGTGTTATTCTATGAATTCATAAAACATATTTTATTAGAGTTAATCTGAAGTTTGCCACATGTAAAAGGTGCACACATAATTAAAGCAACACCTCCGAACACAGAGAGAAGAGAGAAAGAGGAAAGCACCTTGGTCAGCAGGATGCTCTCAGGTGCAGTAGCAGGTGCAGACCTGGGCCTCAAATCCCACCGAGTCCTGCATGCACTGAAAGCCAGCTGCACTGCGCTGGTGTCACCTAGTCCTGGCGCGGTACCACTTAACGTGAGAGATGGAGTGCAGTTTGAATAAGTTTCATTTGCCAAGACAATTTAAAGTGCAGCTCCACACTAAGCATGTGGACAGCGTACATCTTCAAGTAAGCAGTTTGCAACATGCAGCCTCTTCCATTTCCACTAACCACAGAAAATTTAAGGTAAGCATTTCTTTAGTAGAAAATAATAGAGGAGGAGATAATGTGAACCAAATGGAAAGTAGGTCAAGGAAAATCAATTTCTCATCAACTATAGGGCACATAACTTTAAACGGACTCACATAGCTTCAAATAAGTACCAAATAGCAGCATGTTTCCATTGCACTATACAGCAGTAATAAAGCACCAGATTCATGATAGAGGAGACTTAAAATCATGTTGGAAAGGCTGTGAACTAACAAGAAAATCCCACACATATTTTGGCTTATCCCATAGGGATAGAAGAAGGGGCCTTTGACAAGCCATTTGTAAAGTTTATTTTATTATAAAATAGTCAATGCCTTGAATAAATATAGCAACAGGCTAGAGTAAGAATTATTTGAAATTCTTTGCATAGAAACTGAAAGACTAGTTATGACATGTTAGTTCAAAACAAGAAAGGATTTCATTGCAACACAGATGGTCAGAACAAAGGTATTAGGTGACTAAAAGAAATTGTGATGATATAGAGAAGTATATCAAAACTGTTTGATTAATCCTCTGTCAAGGGAATTTTAAGAAGTAGAAACTACAGAAAGTTTAAATTAGAGGAATGCTACGCACATACTTCCAAATTTGTGCTGCTTCTTCTCCCAGTGATTTGTCTTTATTTTATCCAATGCTTTATTTTTGATGGATTTTCACATCCTTAACTTACACTTCCTTAGGCACTGTGATATGTGTTGTGTTTCATAAAAGTTGTGCTTCTCGGAAAGCTGCATGCATCTTATTCCGACAATCTCCTTGTTAATTACAGCCCTTTCTGTTAGGAACACTGAAGTAGTTTTAAGCCTTGAGGGGTTATAGTGCTTTTTCAAAGATCACCAAGCAGTGTTTTTCACTTCTTCTTCCCTACCCAAGGTGCTGCGATATCCATTTCCCTTTCTTACCTTTAGGAAGGTTTTCTCAAGAAGCTTGAAATTTCAGGCCCGCTTCACTCTTGGTCTGTTGCTTTTTTTTTGCTGATACTTGGGACAGAGGGTCAAAAATCTTTAAGAAAGGAAAAACCATTCTCCACTGTACTTGATGTATGGGACAAAAATAGCAGAGATTTGGCAGCAGGGGCAGCAGTTGTGACCAGTGTAGGGGAGGCTACAACCTGCCCTGCCTGGGTCACGGTGGGGCCAGCTGGCTCCGACACCAGTGTGAACACCCATCACCCGCCAAAGCCACAGCCAGGCAAGGGGAGCACCTCTCAACAGATCGTAGTGGCAGGGGATCCACACCAGGGCAGGGACACCCCGAGGAACTGTGGCGGGGGGTGACCCACACCAGGGTAGGGACACCGCGAGGAACTGGGGCCAAGGGTGATCCACACCAGGGCAGGGACACCCCGAGGAACTGCGGCCAGGGGTGACCCACACCAGGGCAGGGACACCCCAGAGGCTCCACTGCCAGGCCCAGACGGAGCCCCCAATACCACAGGGGGACTTCTGGCAGGGTCAAACTAGTTTCACACTTTCCTCTACAAGGTCTCGCCCATGTTATACATTTTCATGTTTCTTTTATCCTTCTTTTCAATATGACTCTTTTGTTTCAAGAGTCTCTTTGTAGTTCTGTGGTTATTGTGCAATGCAGCTGACAGTCATCGCCCTTTTTAGCAGGATCATTTTGGGGCAAACACCCTCTCAGACAGTTTTTGGTGCTCAATTCATACATTTTGTTACACTTACAATCTTATCTTATCTTATCTTATCAGCTGTTGCTTTCTAGCCCATTTTGCCAGCACTGGGTCCTGTGAGCTCCTCCACAGATCAGTAAATTAATTGCTTAGAATTGTGATCAAGACCTAATGCTTCAGCTGTGGCATTTTACAGTAACATTTTAATCTTATTTAGGACGGCAGCAAGAACTGCTAGCCAGTTAGTTGCATGGGCGTGGAGCTTTATTGCCACTATAACGTGGCTATAAATCAGCTTTTATATTTAACAATTTTAATTTTCATAATCATATTTCATAAAAAGGAACCACAATTCAATTTTACAGAATCCATAATTTTTATGTAATTTCTGATACATTTCCAAATTAGAGTTATTTTATGGAGCTACAAATATTTTTTTCTGGTTCTCTAAGGCTAAGAAACATTCATGCTACGAAACACTTCCCATACCCTACATCCAAATGCATAGTACAGCCATATCTGGTCTGCACATCTAGAACTGGGCGTATTCTCTTTACCCCATGTCCTTGTCTCCACACAGAAGAAGCCCAAATGCATGGCCCAGCTGCCAGCTGGTTGGCACTCCTGAACATCTTTAGTTTACGTAATCATAGTTATTAGATATGTGGATATCACCACATAATAATGGTCACATTTTACTTCACAGAGGGGAGGAACATAACTTTTATCTTAGCAAATACACATGCTAAGCTCTAGGCCTTAAAAAACCAAGCTAGAACTTGGTGAGGATCACGAGCGGGAAGTTATTAGTGAAGCAGGCTACACAGAACATAGGGCATCCTGACAGCATCTTCTTAAAATAGCCTGTAGGCTGCTGCGCGTAGCCAGCAATGATCAACTGATGTAAGCAAAAAGCAACAGCAGGCAAGTTATAGTTATTTGCAGTGAATTAAAGGCAGCAATTAAAGCACTGTGATCAAAAGAGATCCAGTCTTAATGTTTGATTTCTGCTCATATTGTGTAATTAGCGCTGTTTCCTTCCATTGCTTTCCGGTACCTTAAGTTTTTTTCCTTTTGTTTTAATTAGCACACCAAAGGCAAGACCTGAAGGTTTCAAAACAAATGAGTATGCTGATGGCCAGCTTCAAGAAATTGTCAGAAAAATGCGGGAAAGGACAACAGTTTACAAAGAAAAGCTGAAAGATCCAGTGCTGTCCTCACCTGAAAGCAGTCCTACAGCTTGTAAGTGATTTTAGAATGCAAGAAAGAGCTGTTCATTAGATGAGTATAACAATTAAATTTATTTTGTGAGAAAAGAAAATGCTGGAATAAAATTTTCAAGTAAGTATAGCATTGGATGTTAGATGCTCATCCATTGAAATAAATCGGTTTGTACCTGTTGAAGTCAGTTTATCCGTGATAGTCTACAGTAAGCCAGCTCTGTCGGTAGAACTCCCTTTGAACGCCATCACTGAAGAGTTTTGGGGAGAAATTTGGGGCAACGTCTAGAACCATCCCTGCCAAGCAGTTTTAAATAGCTCCTAGATAACTTTATTCATGGGGATGAATCTGTATTACTGAAAAACACATATGTTTCTTAGAAGTAAATGTTGGTGACTCTGAGATCAGATTTCTGAGATTGTGTAAAAGTAAATAAAGTTTATTCCTTGTTGGTGATAGCAGATGTGCATGGTTATATGAGTGGTGATTTTATTCTTCAATCTGTTTTCTAATGTTCTGTTTTCTAATTCGTCTATCTGTTTTCTATGACATTCATATTGTAGTGAATTTTAGCTGTCGTCACTGCTAAGTGTTTTTACTAGACTTCTTAGCGTGCTGAGGCTCTTGCACATGTTGAAACTGGGAACAACAGCTGAGCCATTATTAAAATGTTACCTTTTTTGACATTCTTATGTTGTTAGCACCATCAAAAAAGAAGCCTCCACCCCCAGCAAAAGAAGAAAAAAAAGAAGAAAAGAAGGAGGAAGCAGAAGCAAAGCCAGAGGAGGATCATTACTGTGACATGCTGTGCTGTAAATTCAAAAAACCTCCAGTGAAAAAATACATGGCATATCTGCAGCTGCCAGACAGCATAGACTCATACACAGGTAAATTAAAAGCCGTTCAGTAGAACGTGCTAAAGGCGTAATGTGGTGACTTAGCATTACACAGTACCTGCCAGCCTCCGTAAGATCCACGTTCTGGTGTGCAGCTCAGAGGGACACATAGATCCTGCCCTAAAGAACATCCAGTCCAAACCGTCAAAAGACATGAAAGCTAACAAAAGTAGCAAAGGCACAGGAAGACTGTGTGAATGATTTCTCCAGTGCCCCAGAGTTGGTAGGTAAAATGATCATAGCTAACACCCAAGTCTTCTAATGCTCGATCTGGAATTTGGCCAATTTGTTAAGGCCAAATAATCCTTCTGTCACTCACAGCATGCACCAGCAGTCCTTCTGAGCAAAACGAACTGTGTGAAAAGCAGCGTTCCTTCAAACAGGTTAAATTCTATATTCACTCATAAACCCCTTTTCCCTTTTGCAAATTCTCTGTGTGACTCCCAGTCCCGATGTATATCACTTCATGAGCTTCTGCCGTTAAAAGAGGGACAATGATAGGTTGCTCTGGACAGAAAAGCTCCCAATGACTGCTCTAGACTAAATATGTCTAAAAGAATGAGAAAAGATTCTAATTTCATGCTTGTAAATTCACTCTTTTGTCTTCCAGATCGTCGTTATGTAGCGTGGCTCATGCTTGTAACAATCGCCTATAACTGGAACTGCTGGTTTATTCCCCTGCGCTTTGTGTTTCCATATCAAACCCCAAGTAATACAAAATATTGGCTTGTCATAGACATCATTTGTGATATCTGCTACCTGTGCGACCTGCTGATTTTCCAGCCCCGAGTGCAATTTTTAAAAGGTGGAGATATAATAGTAAGTATTAGAAGTAGGATTTCCACAGATAGCAGTGATTTGAAGTGTGTTATAAAAATTCCTTGAATTCCCGGATACATTTTTGCCTACTATATCACATTGATGTAATATTTTTATTTATCAAAGTATATCTATGCTATCCTTCCTTGATCTATCACTATTCTGTTTTGGAAGAAGGAAACACTGTCTATATTCTGTGCGAGTCTTGCAATTCTAGACACAAAAGTCCTTAAAAAAGAAAAAGCAGATGTGAAAGTAACAGATGAGAGCAGTCAGAACAGGCACAGAACTCTGTCACCAGCAGTAAATTGGTGCAGCTTCACTGGAATAAGGGGTTATACGAATATGTGATCATACATGTATCTATATGTTTGCATACGTGTCTGAAACTTGCAGTTTGCCGTTCATATCGTGCAGAAATTGTAGCTGAAGACAGAGCACATTCTGGGCAGGAGGGGGCTGGGCAGGAGATGAATATTTTGTTGCAGTTTGTGAGGGTTTTTTTTTTCCAAAATCAGAGCAAATCCTTGCAATTTCAAGATGCTTTAAAAATCATTTCCTTGAGACATTTTATTCTGTGAAAAAACATACATTCAATTTTAATTTCACTACTATTTGTGTTATATTTTTATGCAATAATACAAAATAGAACTCTAACCAAGTGTCGAAAAAAGTTAAAAGCTTTTCCTTAGCATATCAAAAGGTCATCTAGAATATTAACTTTTCTTTAGAAACTTCCCTACCTTTAATTCTTCTATTTCTATTGAAGAAAACCTAACGTGCAAAAAAGAATGTAAATAATTTCAATATCACACTACTGTGCCCAACAGGCAGAAAATTCAAAATTATATATTCTCAAGTGTAATTTGGAACTAGCTTTAGTTCAGTGCTTTTTATGTAATATTTTACACGTTATGAGTACAAAAATATTACTAATACCTTTACATAGGGATCTCAGACAGGAGTATATAAATGTAGTTTGGGAAGATATTAAAATGCGGTGCAGTGTAATGTATTCTTCCATGCCCAACCATTCAGTAACTGGTAATCTTGCCTAAATCTCATAAAACTAGAGGTTTATGAACAAAGTTAAAAGTGTAACATAGGAAATTTACTTTTTACTTCATTTGAAGTTGTTTGTAAAATTTATAACATTAGTGCCTGAAGAGATCATCTGCAGCCTGATCTCCTGCATTTAGTTTAATGCTTAAAATGATAATAATGAAAAGTTGTCATGGAAATATCCTTATAATTTTAAAGCTATTTTTAAAGTGTCCCTGGTATAAATACAGTAAGTATAATAATAGATACATTTCTTTAGATACTTGTGATTAGCCTTTCGTATTAAGGTACTCGCATCAGTTCCCATGGAGAGCAATTTCAAAATAAATAGCTAATCATTACTAATGAATGCAATGTTGATTATTAAAATGCTAATGATAGCACATTCATTTAGCTTTCAGTGAGCTAATTTTGTACAGCACTATCAGAAACATTCTTTGCATTTTTCTTGGAACCACTGAAGTCAAAAGGAGCTTTTGACCCTGAAATTGAAGAATGCTGGGTCAAGCACCAACCTGTAGAGGGATCTCAAGAGTGAAGATCTGTGGAAAAAAGCAACATATTTTAGTAGACCAGATAGACTTGGAAAAAAACATACAACCCCCAAACCTTGTATTTTTAAGTATATTTAATAGTCTGGTCTAATATAAACTGGTCTAATAAAAAGCATTACTTTTTCCTATAGATATTTCTTCCATTCATGCTTTTAGACGATTACTAATATAACTGTTATCATCCCTAATATCAGAAGAGTGTTATTATTGTACATTAGCAGCACTCATTCCTGACATACTGTTGTTGACTACGCTTTTTTTGTCCTTTCATTATTACTATAGTCAGACAAAATGGAAATGAAGAAATTCTATCACAGCTCTATGAAGTTTCGGGTAAGTAGACCCTGTGGTACTCCAGTCTTATTTCAATCCTTTAAATTCGGGCTATGTGGTTCCGCAGGGTTTTTCCATTCACTAAAACCATTCTTGATTTAAGAATGGCACCAGAAGGCATATGGCATGTCTTTTCTCACCAGCTGAAGCTAGTGTTGTCATCTACATAAACAGTGTTTAATTATAAAATATAATAATTATAAATACAACTATAAATATGAATTATAAGCAATAATAATTGGATAAAATAGAATCAATGAAATGCTGGGTCTTGATGCATTTCTTGTAGAGTGAGGTCATCCCTGTACACACTGAAAGGTGACAACACAGCGACCAGAGATTCACTAAACAAAATTAAAAATTTTTTAAAAAAGATGATAACTCTAGTGAACGCTAGGAAGTACACTGTGGCAATGAACATGCCATTGCTTACACAAGTAAATAAAAAACTCAAACTAAGATTTTTGATGCTCATTGCACTGTATAAAAAAAAAGATGTATTTCATTTAGAAAAATTGCTCATTTTATTCCTAAATACTGTTTTTGCCAACAGAGGACAGGCACTCTATTGAATTTCTGGTACACGTACACCGCTGTGACAGAGCCTGAATCCTGAAATCACAATCTTTGCCCCCTCTTCTGTAAACACTTTTGCACCTGCTTTTTTTCAGATATAAAATTTGTCTCAGTGACTGACTATTTGCATTTAGTTAAGCTATGCAACAGTGCTTTCGGAATTCAAAGCCCAAATCAACGTTTACAGGCAAATGAGCAGGAGAGAGAGCCAAGTTCAATGTAAAAGGATTAAGTAGGTGTGTATGGTTTTATTTTAGATTTCCTCCTGCGATATGTTTAGTACTCTTGATTTCTACAGAAACTAATAGAAGTTAAGTGTTCTTGCTACATGCAAGATACAGTCCAGGAATCTGTCGTTTAATTAAGTGCTGATTAGCAGTAACTGATATTAAAACACTTCTGACTAAATTTTGCCTCTTCTTAGGCACATGTCTGAGAGAGGGAGAGGCCATCAGAAATTCTTTTACCTCAATCAGTTTTTTGCTTTGCTTTGTTTTCTTTTACAGAATTCAGGTTTTAAGTGTGTCTTACCTTCATTTGTGTTACTTGCTGCCAACATGAGTTGCGCCTATCAGGGTAGAGGCATTTCTGACGACAGTGGGATGAAGCCTTCAGTTCCATATCTCTCTTTTATTCCCAAATCATGCCGGCAACAACAGACGAAGGTGTCTCAGAATATAAAATGTTAAAAGACAAAGTCAATTTTCCCACAGCTTTCCTTCTGTCTACAGTATTCCTGGAAAGACTAGTGTAGGCAGATAAAAAATGTAATCACACAACTGCTGGACTGCTGGGAGTTGTTGAAAATCTCAGCGATATGGGTAGGAGAAGCACCCAGATGTAAAAAAAGACACTTAAAAAAAAGAGCTATAAGACTATGATGACTCTGTTGTATGCAATATATGGCTGTTGTAGGTTGGAAGCAATGAGTCTAATTTGTCATGTTTCCCTAAATTGCTTTAGGGAGGCTGGCTTTAAAAGCTATATAACTATTAAGAAGTGCTTGTGGAGTGCTTTCCCCACCTCCACTCACCATCCATATTCATATGAGAGCACATTTTAGTCTTGTCAGAACTGCAATTGAAAGAACAGAATGCAATAATAGTCAAATATCTGAGAGACTGTTAATAATCCCCAGGAAACAGATAAAAATCTCAGACACAAGGGACTTAAAATTAGAGCACAGAAAAGCTGTTGATGTTTTCAAAGAGAGAATCTTACCTGCCAGTTCTTTGGAAATTACGGGCATAGCGTGCAAACTGCTCAATGTTGGTGCTCGAACCAATCTAAGTAAGTTTCAATCTAAGTAAGTTTCTGACATCAAATAAATGCATTATGATTATTGTGAAGTTTAAATTGACCTGTGCTCTTCAACAGCTTGATGTGATATCAGTATTGCCATTTGAAGTTCTGTACTTCTTCTTTGGAATAAACCCAGCATTTAGAGTAAATAGGATGCTGAAGGTAAGATCTGTGTTTGTGATGGATGGCTAACCACACATAAATGCTTTTAAAACCCATTGGAAAGTTGTTTATGGTACTTAGGGTGAAGGAATTTTGAAACTGGAAATTATGTTTAAAAGGGTCTAAGTGACAACATTAGTAAACAAACCATAAACAAATACAAGATATAGTCTAGCTAAACTCCTTATTCTGTTTTTTCTTCTGAATGTATTATTTTCTTTGTACTTTAAAAAGGTACTTTGAGATTAAGACTGATTTGCTTCCATGATTTAAATTATATTAATCTTAAATTACTTATTTAATTTTCAAAGATCAAAAATGTTAATTTAGAACTAATTAAGATCACTAAGTAATGCCAGTGTATTTTCCCCTTCTGTCCCCCTTCACCTTCTGTCAGAATGTCTGCTTTGGGTGATATGAAGCACCTTCATGCCAGGTGCTTATAAGCAAGAGAGGGAATTTTAGGGACAACATAAACTGTATACAGTATATTTCAGAAGTGTAAGCCCACTTTTGTTATTGAATCCAAAGATATGTGACTGTGCAATAGTGGGGCTGTGAAGGGGTTAGACAACAGCTCTCTCCCTCATTCCACTCTACCTTGTAGGCTGCTCCATGGCTAAATACATTCCTCGCACATAACCACCATCTCCTGCTGAGTTCTCTGGGACATGGCAGGCTCCACACTACTACTTTGCCTACGTTAAAGGCTAAACGTTACCAGGCAGCCATAATTTTTTACTCTTTCTTCTTTTGAAAAACCACCTCTGTGTGAATCACTGACAAAATAAATTGTCTGCACATCCAAAGCACTTATTGATAGGTACATACAACAATGAGAAAGTCTATTTTACTTAGAAACCGTTTTTGAAATTATGCTCAATATGGAACAATATGTTGCCGTGTCACCTAAAGAACTGGCTTGTCCAAATCAGCAAGGTTATCTCCATAATCAGGGGAGATTGATCCTTAATGGGTCAATCAACACCCAAAACAATATTTAATTCCATATTCATTTTTGCTTTGCAGTTCATCTTTAAGCTAAATTTTTAAAGAAAGTCAGACTACTGAAGAATCCTTTGCTTTCAAAACATATATGACACCTAATGTCAGGACTATTAGAAAAATGTGTATGGCAAATGATCATGGCTGAATTACTTTCATTTGTTTTCCATTCAGCATAACTCATTCTTTGAGTTTAACGATCGGTTGGAAGCTATCCTGGATAAAGCATACATCTACAGGTATGTGCTCATTAAACCCTTGTAGCATGCAAAGTTTGGCACAGAATGCCTTTCATTTGATCTCATGACTTGTCAGTCAAGCACTGAACTGAGTTTGATAAACCTTTAATTGTTCATTTTGGGAATTTTTTAATATCTGTTTGTCTTTATTGTAATCTTGCAAATAATAGATGTGATATTTCACTCACATAAGAAATCCCATTCAGTTCATTTGGCCTGTTTGAGTGTATAGGCTACTTTCAGGCACAGGTTTTACCAAACTGAGGATCTTGCCAAAATTTAACTAAGCAGAAGTATCCGACAGAAGTTTCTATAATGAAGAAGACCTAAATGACAGTTCCTTAAGGCTGTTCACAGCAGTGCCAAATCCTCAGTATCTGTTTGTTTGTAACTCATAGAAGTTATGAGTTCAGGCCCGTGTCAACATTTTTCTTCTAACATGCTCTCACTATGAACCTGGCGTGTACGGACACTCGATCCTCTACGGCACTGACTAAAGCTGAAACGTGAATCAACTCAACACAGATATCAGATAGTGATTATAGCTGTTGTACACTACACTATAATGTTTTTATCCTCTGCAGAAAGTACAAGAATCTCTGGTGTGACTCACGTAGTCCATGGACATGGGCATGGGCGTGGGCATGGGCATGGGCATGGCAAGCTTCCTAGGTGGCTCAGCAGTCAGTGCTGCTGCTAAGACTCAATGAACCCATCTACTCTGTCTCCATTATTGACATCTACTGTCTAACAGCGTTGTCAAACCTAGTTCATGCTGTGCGATACTTAAATCAACAGATTTTTTCCCCTGTTTCGGTTCAAAGGCATGTATTGTTCCTGTGTGCTGCTGCAGCAGAAATAGGAATCTGTTCTTTACCATCTCATTCCGTTCCAGATATTATTGCACTTAAACGGTAGACTTGGGATTCATACATTGCAAATGAGATATTTTATGAGTTTTAGAAACTGTAGTTAAATCTAGAAAGGAAAATATCATCTAGTTTGTACTTTCAGATACCTGCTAAATAAAACAAAACTTAGAAGTTTGACGGTTCCTCTAAAGTATTTCTGATCTGCTGACCTCCACCAGCATTATTCTTATGTTGCCATCTCCTTTCACTTACTTAATAGTTTTCTGTCTTGTTGGTACAAGAGCAGGCTTTTCTGTAATCTCTACAACATGGAGAAATTGCTTTTCAGTTTCTGAATCACTGGCTCACTGTTTTCCAATTTTAAATCTCATTAAAAGTAATGAGTTTTCTTCTTTGTCTTGCTTATACTTTGTAATTTCTTCCTAATTACTCTTTATTACTTTTCTTTTTTTTAATCTTACTTAGCAATGGTATTAGGGATTGGATAACATCATGTGGTGTAGGTGCCCAAGGTATAATAAATCTAGTTCTAATATTGCAGATAGGAAAACGGATACAGAAAAGGTAAGTAAGTGACTTGTACATCCAGTAAATGAAAGCTGGATCTTTAAACATACTCCAGTTTACTCATTTAAGTCCATGCGGGCAACCTTAACAAATATTTCTCTTCTGTTGCTTACATCTTATGGTACTTAAGTTCCCAGTAAATAGTCTGTTTTTTGCTAGTTGACACGAAGCCATTTGAACTCCTGCCTGATGTTCCTAAGGGAGTTTTAGTTCAAGCACAAGACCCAGGAAGCATGAAATAGGTTCTCAGATTAAGCATTCTCCAGTGTATTGTGACAATAAGCCTGAGCCCACACAGATATACTCACAACACATTGAGATTCTCTCTTATAAAGAGGCACCTGGAGAACAAAGCATGTGCTTTTACCACCTGCAATTATCCATTTACCCTGGACATGGATTTTGAACCCATGAATCCTTTGTTCTGAGTCAATAGCTGAAAACTAGCTTGTGACTTATTTACTCTCTTACTGGTGACTGTATGACTCTTCCTTTGCCTATTTTTTTTCATAAAATGGAAAAAACTGGTTTAGGCATCTGAGTTCAAAGGCAATTCATCCTATCTGGAGGAGGTTGTATGTCTATGGCCAGTCAAGACAGTCAGAGGTGGCTTCTAGGAGAATGGCTCTAGCTCCTACAAACTGAAGCATAATTAAATGTGGCGTATCAAAGACTGTGATCTAGCCACGTTCACAGATGCAGCTAGCTGTAAATCCAGTAAAAATCGTTGCTTACACATGAACTTCCTTTGCAGTAAGTGATCATCAAAACGGGCTCGTATCAACTATAACCAGGGTCTATGCACAGTGAGATTTTATTGGATGCACAGTAGAAGCAAGCCAAAAATAACTGCAAGTAGTTCATAAAATCCAAATCTTTTTCATCATATAATCCTTCTTTTGGTTGGTCAGCACCATTTTCAACTACAGATGAAAAGAACCCCTCTGTACGGCTGGTTACTACAGATAGCAGTATTTGATTTCTTACTGTCAAACTGCTTCATAAGCAAGCTACCACAGCAACAGCTTGTTTTTGCAGTGCTTTTGGGAGTGGCAGTTAGTCCTCCTGCAGCTGCAGCGGAAGGATGAGGAGAAGGATAACCACACAGACTAGCTGCTCCTGGAGGATATTGTCTCAGATCAGCACCAGAGAGCACAGCACTGTTTCTCAGTTTTTGAAGCAATCCTCAGTCAAGGCAAGGATTTTATTGTAGGCCTGCGATGACCTTCTATGGCTGAAGAAATTCAAAAAGGCAGAATGGTTTTCTGGAGGTCAGCTCAAAACTCACCCTCAAAGCTACAGTGCTAATTCACTGACACGATGGTTTAGAGGCCACCTAGAAAATCACCATCTCAGATAACTGCCAATAAGAGTTAGTCAATCTGATATGGGCAAGTTGACTCTTAGGGCAGTAATGACGGAAATGCTGTTAAGTATTAGTAAACAGGCAGAAGGTTTTCCACTCTTGATAAAGTATTGGCAGTCCCACATTGCACTGAAGCAATTGAGAGCTTTATAGTCTTAATTTTTTCCCCATCTAGAAGATTTCTGAATTCATAAATAAAAAGATGTGCTGCTCTCTTTTACTCAAAGTCTTTGTTGATCATTATGGCAATGGTAATTCCCATTATTAATGTGAGGCATTCCAAAAAAGTTCATAATACTAATCTATAACAACAGCAATGTATTTCTTTAATGCAAAAAAATTGAGACATGGTTTCATGACATGAGTGATGTCCCTTGTTATTCTGGGAGACGACACTTAGCTTTGGTACAGTGGCCGCTGAAGCCTTTTGCTAAACAGTGGGATTATAGAAAAAGAACTGTTTCTCTATTGCCCAAGTAACTGCATGATGACAACAGAGTGTGCATTTGCGAGAGTGAAAGGCAGATGGTGACCTCTCAGGAACAAGCTAGAGACAGCGAACCGTACCTTCCTTGAATTCTGTGTTTAATGCATGCAATCTATGTCTCCCTGAGAGCTGAAACCAGAGGTTCAGAGGTTCCCAAGATGCCCAGAGTATACTGGGAGATGCCCTCCTTAAAGCACTTCATCATGTGATTAGGGATAACTGTTGTTCCTACACTTAGGCCTATTTTTTTTTCTTCTAAATTCAAATAGCAGTAAACTTATGAATTTTCTCATGCTCTGTAGTTATCATAGCCTGATTTACAGGCCTACAATGGGTTATTTCTGTCAGTATTTTAGATGTGGAAGGCATAATTTCTCTGAGATGTGTGGTTACCCAGGAGTTATCATGTTGCTACCTACTATAAACAATAGTAATGAAAAAGTCTAAGGACTCTACACCGAAATTTAGGGATGGACTTTTCAGATATGGAACTTTTATTGAGAAATATGTCTAAAAAATAACCACATGAAATAAAACTGTTCTTTGGTCTTACCTGGCCAAATATAACTGGGACTATAAGAAATACCTGCTAACATATCTTTCAGCTGTCTGCTTACAACCAGCTAGTGGAACACTGCAACAGGGCTGGAGAGATCAAGAGTGAACTTTTTCTTCCTGTGGTCTGTGGAAAAGAGTTGTGTTAGGTGTGTGTGAAGGGATGAAGGCTAAAGGTGCAGTGGAGCTGTACTGCTGATGTGGTCACAATGGGAGGCTAGAAGGGAGAGTCCTTTAGGAACTGTAAAACTAGAGTTACATCATGAGGCTATGGTGCTCTGTCAAGAAGAAGGAAGGAAATTTTTGATGAAGCACTCTTCCCAGCATTCCTTGTCTGTGACCATGCATCTCTTTTCCCCTATTGTGTCTTTTATGCTATTTTGTCCTAGAGCACTGCTTATTTTCTTGATCATGGAGAAGTCTTTCTCTATAACCTGCTTCTTGTTCTTCTCTTTCTCAGTGCTGAGAAATTCCCACGTCAGCCTAGCTTCCTGCAAACAGGTAGAAATCTGCCCCAAATTCATCTTTTGTTTCACTCTTTTTCCACTGGAGATCTTCCAGATATTTGGTGCTCAATAACATCCTTGTCCTAAAAGGTCTGGTTTGCTCAGAAACATATTTTGTTTTAAACAAGAAAATTAACATGTATTTTTCCTTCATATTTTGGGTAACACTCCTAGAAATTTCTAATTAATGTTAAGCACTTATAAAATTAATACATTATTTTCTATATTAATTTCTTGTACTTCGGAGTCATAATTTAATAACTTTTCTGTATCTCCTGTAATAGTTGCCATGGGTACTGGGAGATGTGGATCGTTAAGCTAGATGGTTTTGAATCAAGCAATTAGTTTGCATGTAACAGTGATGTTGTGCTGTATACAACTTTCAAAGAAATGGGAGCTAATAAGCAAATCCATTTTCACCTTGATAGGCAGTTTTGCAAGAAGCAGAGTTTCACACTATATAAAGGTGTGGAATGGAAAGTGATTGTTTAAAGTGATTAAGGAAGGCCTGTCTACATCTGCAGACTATCCTGACTTTGAAAGATGTGGTGTTGATCTGTGTGGGAAGAATATAGAGAAAGTGCTCATTTAGAAAGGCTAAGACATGCACAGCAAGATCCCACTGGTCCTGTCCTATGTTAGGAGTAGCTGCAAAACAGAGCCAGCTACTTTGCAAAGCTATTCTGCCTTGTCAATTTAGACAGCTTTGTAGCATGACACTGGCTGAGTGCCACAACTGTGAACTGCTGCTTGTGTCTTGGCTTCTTGGTCACACTGAACCATTTGCATTTTCCAGTATGAACCATGTGCAGAGGTGTAAATACTACGATGAAGTGAATCCATTTTCTACCTCATCCTCTAAAGAGGCCAGAAACCTGAAACGTGCAAAATAGAACACTTTCCATAACTGTAATGCAATTTCAAATTTCTCTGAAGATATACTGAAGAATCATGGTAAAGCATGTGGAGTTCAATACTACTGAGCAAATGTGGAGTTAACCTTACTGCTACTTTATTGCCTATAGGCTTTTCTATCAGTGCACTGCTAGAGTGTGCGATGGAAAAAACTGCCTGAATACTTCTGTTACCAAATGTTATACTTTGTAATTGAAAAAACACCTATTAGATATCTCATGTTATGCCCTGATTGAATACTTTAAAATATATTTCAGAAAACACTGAGTTCTCAGTTTATAAGGTACTCATCAGTAAAAACATTTTCATGGTAAAGCTTTTTTTTAATTGGCTGATCGAAAGACTTTAGAGAAAGAAAAGCAAGAGAGCAAATGGAGATGTAGCTATACAGAAGAAGACTAGGAATGGAAGGTAAGAAATATAATGGGGGGTAAGAAATATAAAATAAGAGATGAGGCTGTTTGTATAAACTACTGCATTTTCTTTGAATGTAACAATATTATTTTGTTCTGCAATTCTGATATGGTGTCCATCTGAATGATAAGGCGGTAAAAAAAGTTTCACTGCAGTGAATTAGGTGACATCAAACTAAATGCTGTACACAGCACTTATATGAACCCGGATGGATTCTCTTCTCAAACTCACTAGATAAAGCCTGTGGGAAGAGAGCTAGCAAAACTTACTACATCTTACCTACCCGTTACGGTAGAGTCAGCATGTGCCTAGAAAAATACAACATACACTGCAGCAAGGGCTTCTAAAATCTTTTCTTAGACATCAGGAGCCCATCCGCATGGATTCAAGCGCATGCACAAGACCCAGCACAGTCAATATGACTGTATTACTAGTTCATTTTGGCTGTTTGCTGTTCTCAACTGCTTGCAACCCTAAACAGACTAGTCCTGGGGACACACCAACCTTTAAACAGAGAAGTGGCATCCAGCTGTCAGCACTCTAAAAAAGAAGGGTGTATGTAGGTAAGAAGATTGCTTAGTGACATGGAGGTGCAAAGAAGAGCATGCAAGGGCACCTGAAGATCCAGTAAAGCAGTGCATAATACAGAAGCAGCTATAGAGACATTATTTCTCATTAACTTAGTTTATAGGTCATACTAAATTATTAAATGTTCATATGAGCACTCTCTCAGTTACTATGCTTGACAAACCACATTACATTTCAGTTGCAGCAGATAAACTCACCATAGACCAACGTCCCAGTATGTAGGCAAGTCCTGGTAGTTTTCCTGCTTACTTACCCCTTAGCTACATGATTGCTTGAATGGAGAGCTGAATCCAGATCTTTTCTTTTGATCTCCATGCATTGCACAGAAGATATACAATGAGATCATTATTGCATTAAACAGAAAGCCGCCTGGTGCTTAAGTAGTTCATCATTAGCATTCTTTGAAGAACTGGCCCTAAGCATAAGAGCTGGGATTAATCCTGCTGTGGTCACTAAATCGTACAATTTAGCAGACCTGCAGAAAGCTTTCTAACTCAGGTCTTGTAAAGCGGTTCATTTCTGACTGCAGACACTTCTTGGCTTTATTTCAAAACAAGATTAGAGTCTATCTTAAAAAGAGTTTTGTGAACTTATTAATACCCTCTAGCCTCATTAATATAGTTTCCCCCTTTCATAAATATTCATAGGCAGTTAAATAAGTGGATGCTGGAATCCTCAGGGAAGCATGATCTGTGTCAAGCATTCTAGGAAAGTTATTTATTTGACCTTAGAAGAACATGAGAGAGACAGGTAATTGCCAGCTATTTTTTTCACAGAGTTAATACAAGTGGAGAACTACTTAGTGGATGCTTAGCATAAACATCGTTGATTCAAAAAAGCAAAAGGTTCCGTATTAAAAGGGGGGAAAAATACAAGCTATTTTACAGGAATTCAGTCATCTGCAATTTGGAATCTGTTGACTTTTACAGGGTCATTCGAACAACTGGATACTTATTGTTTATCTTGCACCTGAACGCATGCCTGTATTATTGGGCTTCGGACTATGAAGGACTTGGCAGCACTAGATGGGTATACGATGGCAAAGGAAACATGTAAGTCCTTTTCTTCTGAAAGACCTTTGTTGTTTCACTCCTTCCTGCCTCCCTCTTTTTTCCCATGACTTTGCTCACATGGTGTGCCCTTACACTGATAAGTGCTTGTATAGCTAACTTTTAGGACCATAACTGCTGATTAGCAGCTTTCATTACTAACAAATATTTGGAGGGCAGGTGCAGTGAATAATCAGTTCACCACTTTCTGCTTTCACAGGTTTATGAGTCAGAGCTAAGCACTAACTTAATTAAACATTTAGAAAGTATCAGGGGTCATAAATTAAATTTACTGATTACATATGCATATGGGAAGTGTTAGAAGGACAGATAGGATTAGAAGAACAATCCCTTGAAGGGGTCAGAGGCGTAGAATTTTTTTGCCACACAGCATTATGTCATTAAAATGCAGCATTTTATTCCCTCTAAATACCACAGTGATTGCTCTGAAAAAATTCCACCCACTGACTCTGATCTTTGGAGAAGGTCACACTTAAACATGTGGTGAAGAAATTCTCCAGTGGGGAGGAGTGGATATTAGCACACTTGTCCACAAACTCCTCATGACAGCAATGGGCTTGGAGCCAAGTAAGAGACATTTGTTAAGATGATGGAAAGGAAGAAAGAGAAAATAGCAAAGTTGTAACATAATGTGTTTTGGGTGTAATCATGTAACAATATATCTAGTAGGTTCAGATATATGAAAGTATTTACATTTCTTCCAAAGACCATAATATATTTAACTCCACAGAAGCTCAGTTTGTTCATTAATTACATTCTCTGGAAAGGCACATAATAATATAGTACTGGTGATATAAATCACCATTTAAACAACTTTTCACACTTCTCTTTTAACAGCTTAGAGACATGTTCTTTTTTCTTATAATTTTGTCAGACTTCATGAGTTAAGTGTGAAGTCACTGTTTTGAAGGGAAAGAAAATAGCCTTTGAGAATAAAACGTGCTTTGTGCAAAGTAGCATTGATATAATAATTAGGTTCTCTTTCAAAAAATGACGCGGTTCAAGTTTCCACACCCCACAAAAATACACAGTTTGAGTACTGTAATCAGATACCCATGTAGGCAGGGCCATGGAGCTCAGTGGGACTATTTATGTACATAAAGTTATACACAGGTAGTTATTTGCAAGCTCAGCACTTCCAGAAATCTGACAAGAAAAACGAGGAATGAATTTCTATTGTAGTCATTTAAGTTAATGTCATTCTTACAAATACTTGCTTCGTAACTAAAAAATAAGGTAACGAAGACTGAGAAATACGAAAGTGCTCTGAAAGTAGGGTTCTCACTCAGTCTTTAAGATTTTACTGTTCAGAACAGCCCAGAGAACAGATAAAAAAAGTCTTCCTTTTTTCTTATGGGCAGGGATATTTTACATTTCACTCGAGGGAACCAACTGGTAGAAATGATTTGCTAGCTTGATCACAGACAGTGCAGTTGTGTCCAAAGGCAATGGTCAGGTTGCTTAATGCTTTGTGGTACCTTCTGCATGAGGAGACAGAAGAATTTTTCAAATGACATCACACTGAAATCACACATGATTTAGGGCAGAATTATTATAAATGATAAGAAACTGATAATTCAAACTCTGTATTAAACTGAGATGTTGAAATAAAACACATATCATAATATATCCATACAGGCCTCATTAACTCGTTAATCTGCCTCATCCTGACATTAATTGGTGAATGTATGCTGTTATTGTTTTGCCTGTACCTAACTCATACTAGAATATATGATTTAATGTACATGGGATCCCACACATTATCCCATGAGCTGCATTTTATTAAATACAGCTTGTATATATATCTTGCATACAGCTTGTAACAACAAATGCCTTTTGCACGGGGTTATGGAATCAGACATTACATATTATCTGATTCTTGAATAAATGGGGATTTTTGAAAGAGAAGCATTATGTGAAAATCAGTTATTATTGGAGATAGATTGACTGTGAATTTAAACACATTAAACAAGATACTTCTACGTATACTTGTCTCTTTGTAAAGCAGGAAACAAGAACAATCTGGGATAAATCTGTAGGAAAAAGTGACCAGAACTGCAGTATTCATTATAGTCCAGCAATGCAGACATAATTTCCTTTCACATAACAAACAGAGTTGCCAATATTTGAAGCAAAATGTGCTATTGGCCTGATGTAGAATGGGAATACAGATAAAACAAACATAGTTTATTAGCTAATTTTAAAAAGACAGTTAGCATTTCGACAAATAAAACAAAATTGCAGTGGTCTCAGATTACACTGACCCAAAGCAAATAGATTGGCACTAATTTAGTGGTATTAATATTTTATGTACCATCCCTACTGTGTCCGTGGCCAAACACAGTTTGAAAACATTCCAACATTTCTAGGGTCATTTTTTTCTTTTCCAGGCTAAAAAGAAGAATAGGCATACAGCAATTTCCTTAATCAGTTTGATCATATGTACGTTTCTGAGTAGGCACACTACATGGTAAAGTTTCAATTTATAACTAACAGATGTAGCACAGCACTCAAACCACAAGAAAAACTACCAAAGCAGCTTTTTTTGCAAATTATTGCTAGCTATGTTCTTTTCCAGCTTGTTTTCAGACTCTAGAGTGTCAGTGTTGGTCCAAAAAGGTTTCAAGTCTTTTGAATGGCAGCCTTCAGTCAACGGCATCAAGCCGAGGTACAGAGGACTGTCAACTTCACCACCCTCCAGCATAACCAAATTAGCCATACAGTATGTTCCCAACCTTAAAACTGCACTGATGGGCTTGGTACAGTTAGGCAGGCAAACCTCAGACACTCCTAATAAAGAAGAATAGCATTACGGACACAATGCTATGTACATCTCATGTGCCCAGAGCAGCAGGATATTAAAATAAGGCCTCCTAACTATAGCTAAGTGAACAGTTTGAACTCCATATGTTTGGTTTCGATCTATTTCAGGTACCTCAGGAAGAGACTGTTTTCCCTGACTCCTCAGGATAATGGATAGATCCTCCAGAAAGTGATTCAAGCAGGAACCTAATGTCATTGTTCTGAACTGTCCCATGGAATTATCTTTCTCTCTTGCCATTTCCCATAAGGGAAACTAAGCACAGGAAGCTGAAATTCCTCATTCAACCCCCTAAGTTCAACATTAAAGTTAGGAACTACAAGTCGTTCCCCTTTACTCGTGTTATATGAGCTTCTGTATGAACTTCTACTGCTTGCAAGTCCTCCACAAGCAGGTTGCAAAAATTCTCCAGAATACTTACTAATCAAAAGACCCTTTTGCATCCTAATGATGTTTCTCTGTAACATGTTGCCTTCCTCCTGTGGGCACAAACCTAGCAGACATCTGGAAATCCCAAAAGATGGTCACTGTACATGCCTAGAGCAACTCTACTTCTTTGGCACACATTGACCAATACTCAGCAAGACTGGTGTATCTTAAAAGTGTCCTGTACATGCATACCAGCATACATGCATATCAGCCATGCATCATACTTACAACAGGGCTGATGTGTCGTACTCATAGCGCTTGCTATACAGAGGCAGTTTTGGGCCTGCAGAAAAACTGTGAATGCACAGCCCAGCTCATAGGTATGTCAGACCTAACGGTTTCAAACCTGCCACTTGTAGCCATAGTTTTTTATACAGAAGCTTTTTAGTTCACACTATACTGTTTGAGACCATCACACTCACAGTCAACTGACGAATAAGTCACTCAAGAAAAAAAAGATATCAAGACGGAAGGAATTAGGATACAAATTTATAAAAGCCCTCTCTTTATTCCACTTCATAACCATCTTGGTTGTAATCAGAGAGACGTCTCATGTGACAGCCCTGAATTAATGCTTCACTGGGCTGAAACTAATGTCTGCATATCACCTTAAAATCTGAAAGCCATATGCGCAAAGATTCGATTTAACTGTATTAACCAAAACCATGTAAGAAATTTAGCTTATTCTGAAATGGACTTTTAGGAAAAAAGATATTTTCATTGGCATAGCATTGCAAGTATCTTACTTGCAGTGTTTTTTTTCCCTACCTCAAACTTATTTCAGGGAAAAATCCAGTAGTTTGATTGCCTGAAGGATAAACATACCATCCATGCTGTACAGAGGGAAAATCTCTTTCTTGTCTCGTGTTGTTTGCTCCAACAGTAATTTTATAGTAGGCTAGTAAGCTGTATGGCAAATGATGGTTTCCAGGAACTTGAACTACAGGAATCAGAGCTGCTAATACCAATGAAATTGGAATCTGTTTTTTCTGGCTTTCCATAAACAAAATTTACAATCTCATTTCTTCATGTCTTAGAAAATAATATGTCTTATATTTCAACCATGTAACTCTTATTTCAGAATAAAATAAAAACAATAAAATGAGTAAATGGAGAAAATATAAAACCTGTGCCTAAGAGATAGGGAACATCCTGTGACTTTGCCAATAGAAAGTTTCCTTTGAAGTAAAATCACAGAAGAATGCACTGTGTTAGCTGTATCTTTAGAAAGGGTGGACAGTTGTGGAAAAACCCTCACATTTTAGATACACATTGCTGCAGAGAAGAATGTCACTCCTGAAGTTCTTTGAGGAGCTGTTTTCATTCCTTGTAGATGTTCCCAGAGTCAAGATGATATTGTCTATCATGCTGAACTTAACAAGGTCCGAGGCCACTGGGAGTGAGGCAGTTTGTTAATTACTATTATTTCCTGTAGGTGCTAGCTTAAGAACTAATGCTAATTTCTTTATACTTTCATATTTGTAGCCTCTGCATGTTTCAACTGCCACCGCATTCTCAGTTATGGTGAATTAATATGATATTAATATGCTTTATCTGATGATTCCCCTCAGACACGGTAGGGACATAATTTTATACTTAAATCTGCAATTCTTCTTAAATAGATCTGAGGCTTTTTCTTGCTATTCATTTATGCTACAGAGCTCTGAGAGAAAGCTGCCACCTATGCATCCTTTGGTGGAAACTTGCATAGGTGATGATTTGTTTTTTAATCTGAGTGAAAATGTAATAGTAGTGTGATCCAGTTGTTCATTTTGCAACCACAACAGGGAGAACTACTATGATGACACATATGCAATGAATTCTTTGACTTACAAACTCTGAATGAAAACTGCCAGTTCTAGCTGTTAAAATCTAAAAGTAGATAACTACGATAAAAGTGACCATTATTACTGCATTTCGTGAATCTGAAAGCAGGAGAAAAGTGACTTCCTAGGGAAAAGCAAAAATCAATTGCCTGGTAAAGCCTGACCTTTCAAATGGAAGATTTGGAAACACTTTGAAGTGGTTTAAAATGGAAAATTCCCCACTTGAATTAGTTGTTATTGCAAGATCATTTTCTTGCAATTTATTTGCAATAACACCTGGTCCTCCACTTGAACTCTTACCTGCACTATCTGTTAATAGGAGCTGCATTCATCTCTTAAAATAAGAAAAGGTTAGAAGTGAGGCGTCATCAAATTAAAATGTAGGCCTCAAGTCTGCAAGCAGATCAGGTGGCTTCAAATTCAGGGCAGACATGAGAAGATGCATCCTAGGCTGTCTATTTCAAAACAAACATCTCAGAAAGTATTTGTTCTGGTTTTTTATTTCAAGCTCAATAAAATTCAATAAGTAGAATGAGTCTTCTGATTGCTTCAGAAGCTGTGGTCATAGATGAAACAGAAATTCTCTTTGTACAATTAGGGGAAATGAACTTCCATTCCAAATCATGAGTGAAGCTGAAGTCTGATTGTTCAGACACTCAGAAAGTCAAATTCTAATTAATAGGGGGCTTTAAAAATATTCCAAATCAATTACTTGTTAGCTCAGAAATGAAGGAAACAATAACACATTTATGACAACTATTAAAACTAACTAATCCCAGCTGCACAGTATGGGGGATGCTGCATTACCAGTGGTGCCATGTTTTACAATGGAATTTAAAACAGAATCTTAGCGATACCAAGGCATTTAATGTAACAAATAGGGTAGTTTGTATGACTATCCTCACCAAATTTGAAAAATTCATTCTGTCCAGGTCCTTTGTTGTCTTTCTAAGCTTATGTTATGATCCTAATAGAAGTACACCACTAAATGAGCTCTGTCATGCAAAGGGCTGTACAAACAGAGAAGAAAGTTTCTGGGCCAAAGAGCTCACACTTCAAGGATGAGCAGTGATGGACAGCAGATGGATTCAAGGAAGGAGTCCATACAGGGCCATATTATGAAGCAGAGTCTTAATGACTGACCTTTGATCACTACCGTATTTGACCTCTAGAACAAGAGAGTTCTGAGAAAAGTGTGGAAGGACGTTGACAAGGTGCTTTTGAAGCTATTCATGGAAAACTCTTCCCAGCCTTGAGGGAAAGCAGTGAAGAAGGCAAAAATGTGTTTGTCTATTAAGGTAATGGAAGGAGTAGAGGAGACCAGCCACTGAAGAAGATGAATACTAGAGTCAGCCCTTCAGTGCTGAATAAGACAGGAGTGTTATGGAGAAACTGAATTAGCCTGTAGCTTGTGAAAACCTGTAGTTTCTCTTTGATCTAACACTGGAAAGAGAGCCAATGAAGAGCTCTCAGAAGCAAAGTTGGATGGGGGCACAGCATGGTTAATGGAGTAGCAAAATGATGCTCTGCAGCAATCTTTTGCGTGCAGATAAGAGGGACAAGACTGCATTTGTCGTGGACAGCAAAACCCTTGACACTGCCATCATTAAGAAGTAAAACTATGAAAGAGACTGTGTGTTTACCTAGTATACTACGAGTATGGTCTGAGAAGTCTCTAAAAATTTTTATACAGCTTTCAACATCTTTGGATCTTCACAGGCAGCATTCTAACGCTCTAATGTCCATCCTGGCAATTTCAATTCCATATGCTTCCATACTGCCATGTACAGTTACTAAACAACAGTAAACACTAACTGCTGCATTTTCCATATATTCTTAATTTGCTGTCAGTGAGAACATTCACCTCAATCTGATTTATAAGATTTGATTATTTGTAAAATCATAACAGTTTATAAAAAAGTTTTCAGAGCTTTTGGACCAATAAGGCATCACTGAAAGGCCCAACCCAGGCATGTGTATGTTTAGCTTCAACCATGCAGGTACTTATAGTCAATAACACAAATGCTGTCTGTATCCACAGGTATCTGAGGTGTTACTACTGGGCAGTTCGTACTTTAATCACCATCGGCGGCCTTCCAGAACCACAAACCCTGTTTGAGATAGTTTTTCAACTGCTGAATTTTTTCTTGGGTGTCTTCGTCTTCTCCAGCTTAATTGGTCAGGTACATCAATAAACCAATAGCTATATATGTTCAAGTTACTGTAATATATTCAATTTAATGTAATAATATATTATATTTATGTGATAATATATTCAATTTAGTGTGGCTTAGCTCTTCCAGGAAAAAGACTAGCTTCCGTACGAATGTCCCTGTTTTTAGCTATCGTCCATATTTATTCTTCTGACAACTATGTATGTTAATCACTTCCCAGTTTTGTAGACCATGTCTCCAAAGTTGCACACAAGCTGATTTAAATCCAAGATTGCAGGATGCAGATGATTCTTTAAACTATATATGATTCCTTCTTTTTCCTAATAGCCAAGGAGTCAGCTCCTTAATGTTCACACTGTACTGTTAAATCTGATATAAAACTTATAATTGAAAACATAGTTACATTAATATTTACAAATTATTGAATAATTCATGCTTGATACTACTGGTAATAAAGTGTTGCTAATGCAAAATGCGATGACCTTTGCCATACAAGAATTCTGCTCTTTTCCATAGGTTTCAAAATATTTGTTAACCTGAAAATTAGCTGTTTTCCATTCCTCTTCCTTCTCATTTGGCAAGAGGAAAAAAAAAGCCCATAGTAAAGCAAATCAGTTAGATTTCCAAATGAACACTACCCAGCATGAACTATTTTCAGCTTGTAACTCTTAGTCTTGGGCTTTAGATCCATAGGTTTTAAAATATCTTGCTTACAGAAGAACAAATGTCATAGTTCCTCTATGAGATTGCACTTCATATTAGCTTCCTATAGAAATTCTTCCAGACCTTTGGATTTGTACATTTATGTCACTGACAGAATTAACATGAAAAGATGAACACGAAACCTGGTAACATTTCTTTTTTATTTTGAGTACAAGATTTGAAAAAGTTCAATTAGTTAAAAAATTGCTTTTGCTATTTAAAAGTGCAAGAGGTGATACTCAACTATCATGAAACAGAACCTACCCATAGAATTTAAAATTAGTCCACAATCAAGAATTACTAATAATACAGCAAAGTACTTCTTCATAGAAAATATTTCTTCTGGAAAATTATTGGATTCAAGTATATTGGGTTAAACTTCAGAGTTTACATATTTACAAGTCTATTTTTTTTCTAATTTGATATAACAATCTATGAAACCACCACTCCACCATTATAAATTAGCCTTTGCAACCAGTATAGTCAACTGCAGAATCAAAACTTAGATATTAATACACAGCTTCATTGAAGCTTGTTTACAACTCCTGTTTACAAAGAGCTCTTAAAATTTCTGAAATTATTAGTCTTGCTTTAGCACACTTATCTAAAAAGTGTTGTTCCTTGTGCAATCAATTGCATCTCTGTAATAAGGAGCAGAATTTAGCCCACTGACATACTAATCCTTGGCCACTGCAATATTAAGCCATTCTACTAAGAACATGTCTACAGAGTTACACTTACAAAGCAGGAATATCTACGAACATTAACTCATTCGCTTTTTAAAAGTTAACTGACATTAACTCAACTGTGTTGAAATGTTAAATGATGCTGCTGCACTAAAATCTTTAAGATCAACTTTCAGCCCAAGTTGGATTTTTATGACTGATCTAGACGCACTCAACAATGTAAACATCGGCAAGATCTTAGTTCTAGTGGTGTCAGCTGATGTTATTGCAGAAATTTAACCTAGTTCATTTCATTTCTGATTTGCATTGCATACCAAACGCAGAGCAGCTTTATTATGAATTTTTAAGAAATCATTATCTGTATTTTTCGTCCAAGTGCAGAAATATGAGATAGAAGAGTAAGCTGAAAGCTTCTAACATAACTAGATTGTCATTAATGTTTCTGAAAAAGCAGACAAAAGGGCTCAAAACATATAGCTGAATATATAACGAACCAGCTATTTTGCAAACAAACGTTTTGTTCTTTTAATAAGTTGTTGAAAAGATATTCAAATCCAGACTATTGTTGGTGAAATGTGTAGTAACAGCGAATGATGTTTGCAGATGCGAGATGTAATTGGAGCAGCTACAGCAGGACAGAACTACTATCGCTCCTGTATGGACAACACAGTCTCCTACATGAACACTTATTCAATTCCAAAAGTGGTTCAAAATCGTGTTCGAACCTGGTATGAATACACATGGGACTCGCAAGGAATGCTGGGTAAGGCTTTCAAACACTGGTCACATAGTAATTCAAAAGGAGGAAAGCTCTGTATAGACAGATATAAGGTGAAATTCACGTTTCTTCTCTTCTGAATTTCATGGGAGAGGGTGAGAGGAGGGTATTCAATTTACTTCAGAGAAGCAAAAAACTCCAGAGCAGTATGATGCTTACTACTTCAAAAATTCTATTAAGGTATAGAATGTTCTCATTATAACATTAGACAGTATGCAACTTAAACCACAATGTCTTATGGTGAAAGCATATCAGCATTTTCCTCATCAGAACTCATAAATGCTAGAATTACTCTACTGAGCTATTTTTCTATATAATGCTCATTTTTATGAACATTTTTTCATTCTTCCTTTATATTTTCTAACTAATAGGGTTTTAAACTTTTTTATTTATTTTGCAGATGAATCAGAATTATTGGAGCAGATGCCAACCAAAATGCAGCTAGCCATTGCAATTGATGTGAACTTTGCCATTGTCAATAAAGTTGACTTATTCAAAGTAAGCAGTTTTACAGGAGAATGCAGCAATGTGTGGTACTCATGAGACTGAAACCTAGTTTTGTGCAAAGGAACTTTTTGTTTGTTCTCGTGATGGTTTTCCAGAGCTATAAATTAAATGTTGTTACTTAACACAGGAAAAATATATCCTGCCATGTTAAAAATTAGAAAAGGCTGTATTTTTAGAAATAGTCTTGACATACTATTATCTTAACACTAATTTGCTTCTTAGGGTAATTGCAAGAAATCCCATGTTATCATTGTATAACCATACATAGCTTCACTGTTTTTGCAACATTTGTTGAAGACATGAAATTCATAGATTCATACCAGCATTGGGCATGATCTGCTTTTTTCCCCCGGATCAGTAAAAATTGTTTCACATAAAAGACTCGTAAAGCTCTGAACCTAGCACTAACTGAACTTCCACAGCAATCAGATTTAGATGTGCAGAAGTCTACTTTGTAGAAAGAGGTGTTCAAGCAGAGAGAAGAGCACTTTGTAAGTATCTGGAAAGACAGTTCTTTTAAGTATTTTCTCTGCTTTAAAAAGTGATCTTTATGATGTTTTCATTTTGCATTCCACTTATGAATCCCTGGATCATCACATTCACGTACTGCTGGGTTTTGCTGTCCAGTGTAAGCACCAATAATAACTTCAGTTACTGAAGCACAATTCTAATTATTTTAACAGGGGTGTGATACTCAGATGATATATGACATGCTGCTACGGCTGAAATCCATTGTGTATTTACCTGGTGACTTTGTCTGCAAAAAGGTGAGCATTAATATCTCTTTCAAATGCAAGGAAACACGTATTTTAGAAGAAGAGTTCAGATATAGGTCACCAGTATACTTAAATAAAATTAATCCTGAGTGAATTAGACAGCAGAAAAGTAATTATGGTATTATGTGTAATAATAATAATAAACTCTCAAGTTTCAAGCTAGAGCAAGGCAATATGGATTTTATTACTTACATTATCAAACAAAACTGTGGTAGCCTGGAAAAGTATTTTATGTAAATACAGCATGTCTAGTGACACGTCATTAAGTCTGAATATTTAAAATGGAGCAGGTTGAATTTTTTTACACATATATACATATAAACTTAGCCTATAGAGCTCAAGCTACGATGCTTGTGAATACACAATGCTTCATTATGTATTCAGACGCTCTAAGTAGAATCATCCACAGGAAAACCAAAGGCGTCCCACACAGCTCTTTACAGCAGAATCTGACCTCGCTGTACCTACACTTGGATTTCTGAGCTATTTCCAGAATGCACACTGAATACATAGCTAGCTGTACATTGCCCCTTGGCAAATAAACCCATCTTCTCCTAGCATTTTAACTTAAACGTGGTCTTATGGTAACAGAGGTAGATAGCTCAGCTTCTGACCAAGTGAGCTCAAGTTTCTTCTCCAAAGGCATGAAGCCGTACTCACAGTGCTTGATGTGACTAAAACCTGGATGGTTGAAGAAGCAGCACTGTTGTTCTTCTGGCAAGTGATCCACAGCTTGCACTACACACAGAGCTGATCATCAGAACCGCTTTTGTCTTGAGTAGCCCTGATTGCTGGAAGTTCACTAAGGTCCTGCTCCCTCAACATGGTTCTCTCTTTGAATGCTGAATTAGTCCTACTGACTTCAGTGTAGTAAGTCAAACGTTTGTGAATGGACTGCAGGATCAGGTCT